GAGGCGGAGGCGGCGGCTTGGGCGGGCTCCTCCTCTGCCTTCTTCTCCTTGGTCTTGGTGGGATGCGACTCAGGCTGTATTTTCAGAGCATTAGTAAATACTTACCATAGCATAGGTAACTCATGTGTCATTATATTAAAACAAAGGATAGTAAATAAGGAAAGCTCGACCGGGCAGTGGCCAGAATAGAAGGGGCAAAGGACAATGGGACCAGAAATACTAATCAAAGAAGGACCGATAAAAAAAGGGAAAGTACTCGGAATTGAGAGAAACATTGATGATTAAAGAGACAACATATAGAAATAACCTTATAAACACTAATCAAGTGTATAAAGCAATCTCTATTCCTCCTCAAAGAGATTTTATGGGGAGGAAATGGAACTTACAACAGTGATGCTATCAAACAAGCCACGTTGGCCCTCTATAGTAATGAATCAGTCTACAACCCTTTAAGAGCGATGTTTACAACAGGAGATGAGTACTTACCCATGGTTGATGATGATGCTGATGATGATGATGATGATGCTGATGATGATGGTGGTCGTTGTGGTGACGATGATGATGATGAGGATGGTGTTGCTGCTGCTGCTGGGAGGAGAACAAGAGAGAGAGAAGAGGAAACCGCGTCGCATTGTTGTGTGCTCACCCAAAGCACAATACATCCTCAGGCCTCAAGTTCCACACAGGTGAGATATAACTCTTGGAACTCTGAGCTAAACAATAAACCAAGCTTGCCATGGGCCCATGTAAATTTTATAGTCCCTCATAACTTATCATACTAATTAGTATTGTGAGCATCAACAGTCTTTGAATGATAGCTCCCATGGCGAGACTAATGGGTCCTTTCCTGATAGCTGTCCGTTGATCCTACAGCACTAGGAAAAGTGTTAGCTTAGACCTTCTATAAGAAAGGGGTCTCTGGCTGCAAAGGTTGAGACAAATTGAGTTACCTGAAGCCCTGTACTGTCACTGCTTAGGAGTGAAGCCTGGTGGCAGGAGCGGCGAAAGGAACCACATTGAGCCTTGAAGGGGAGGATTGATTGATTGATTGACTGATTCCTTACTCCGTCTCGGCACCGAGCTGGGCCACGCCGGAGACACTACCTAGAAGGGGAGGAAGCGTGAAAGCAACAAGACTCGTATTCCAGAGCATGGGCTGTTCGTAGCCCTACTCGGTGATTGGATAGGAAGATTAGCATGCAAGAAGGTTGGGCGAGAGTGTAAGAGAGCTATCAAAACCGGACGGCAGACGTTTGGACCAAGGTTACCTATCTCATGGCGGTAGTAGCGACGATATCTCTAGTAATCGCGGGATTTATATGGGATCGACTCTTCATATCTCATAGGGAATGTGTTGTTGTATTGCTGCTTCCACCTAGATGGCGTCTAGATGAGAAGTACTATAAAAATAACCAACATTGAATCTATCTTAATCCAATGTGCATCTGAAGATAATCAACTTGTATTAGACTGATAAGATACATTTCCTAAATATTTAGTGGCTTAATTCATTATAGATATGATTGTCCTCACAGCAAACAAGATAACCACAGCCAAATTTAAGATAGGTCCAACAAATTTCAGCACAGATATTACTGGAGATTAGTATTCGCACTTGTTAATTATGAATTAGGGGATTTCAGACAGACATACCAGCAGATCTATATCCTCAGGCCTCAGATAAAGAATCAGCATGTAGGAAGAAGATTGAATCAGCCTGAGGCATGGTGCACCTTCCTATTATGGAAGTCACACTGATGGTTCCCCTAGTTTAGAGGGGTCATCCGTAGAGGAAAGCAAGAACATGGTTTCTTCCATTAAGCACGATTAAGACAATCATTATTATAGCCATTGCGTCCCATTTATTATTTAATTAATAATTCAAGCCCTAGAGATAGATCCTGTTAATAATCAGCCACACTAAAAGGTAAAAGTCGGGCTCCATAAGGCAACTCTGCCATCAGGTTCTAAGGACAAGGAAAACTGCGTCCAGAATTCAGAGCCCACTCCAGCCAGAAAGTAACACCAGGCTAAGGGCTCAGACAATATTCTGCAGGAGCATGGTAAAGGAAAGAGAAAACTTTCTCATGTTGAGGAAGATGTGGCTCCTTCAGGGGGTTCTCCATTCAACGACGACAAGACATCCGACGCCTTACAGCGCGATAACCTTGACGCCAAAATCGACGCCGAAATCGACGCCTTACTAGATAACGAGATCGACGACGATGAAATCGAAGTCATCGGTGATGATGACATTATTGCCAGTCCCGACGACATCGATGAAGATGACCGCACTTCAACTTCTCACTCAGCTTCTATCCCCAACCAGAAACTCGATACCACCCTATCGCTATGGATGATTTACGAGAAGCATTCATGAATACAACGCCCTCGGCTGAGACTGGAAAGGGTAGGAGGGAAAGCAAGGAGGACCAACTGAGCCAGCTCCCGACTCCTCGAATGGGTCTCCCTGACCGAATGTCATCACCGTTGTGTATCACAGGAAGGATTGAATCTATACTTGATGGAAACTACCTGCAACATGGTGAGAGTCATGAATCTTGGAGAGAAGAGGACACCTTATATGATATCATTGCATCTAGCAAAGCCGATAGCCGATATGGAAGATGTGCTAGGGTCCCAGGCCCACTGCTTTGCTTGAAGGACTCGTCAAATAGAAGGTTGCCATATCAGTCCAATGTATTATTCACCGTCATCTATTGAAGGGATTCATGTCTTCTTCCGAAGCAGGACAGGTGTTTAACCTGGGGCGAAAATCAGATGATCGATTGACACCATTGTCTGGGCGAGGACTCCGCGCAGCCGAGTCGGTCAGACAAACGCCATGGCGACTGCTAGAATGGTATGAGTGCGGCCATGAGGAGTGCCATGATCGTCCTGCAGCGACATAAGCTCACCTAAAGATTCTTAGAGTCAACAGCCCAAGTGGACTAACTTGGTTAATGTATGAAAGTAAGGAAGTGAGATATCAAATACAGAGTAAGATGTCGTGAGTATGAAGGAGCACGAAGCTTTCGTTGTATATATTGGCGGCGAAATTCCACAAACTGGAAAGGGTTCTTGACCGAATGGACTACATCAATAATGACCAAGCATCATTGTTTATATGCAGAGAAAAGAGCTGAAAATCTTTTATTAATAGATGGCAAGAATAAAAAGCATTGTTTTTTCAGATCATGAACATTTTGTTTGGTGGATCTTCCGCCTCTCATTTCCAGGCGCCTGTCATGCAGGTCAAATAATGCTTAGCCACAGGAGCTATCCGTCGCAGTCCATCAGAAAACAATTGTCACTGAAGGACGATGGGGCGGTGCAGGACAGAGTGAAATACAACGTAATAATCTCGAATTTGATACCCCTCTACGGAGTAGCATCTGTTGATAGCTGTTTCATCCTAACGCCTATGTCAATAAAGTTCAAGAATGGTATTGGTGATGGCTCAGCCGCTGCACCGCCTCGTAATCCACGTAGCTGACTGGGACGGACGCCCCTGAATTTCACCAATGTTCCGCGCTGAGCCGTGGCTCCTTCCATCGCTGTCAGATGGCTCAACCATTATCACCGAGATTGCAAACGCCAGCCCTTCGTATAAAGGACCCTCATACCTGCGCCCCATCCTTTCGTATTTCTTGTCGTGTACTTGCAAAATCTCATCCATCGGAGACAAATTACTCACTATCTCACTCTCATCACAATGTCTGATCCATACAACAACCACTACAATCAATACGGTGCCCCGCAGCAAGGTCATGGCCAGCCCAGCGACGGATACTACGGAGGCCAACATAACTACAACTACCCTCCTCCGCAAGGCCAGTACGGGCAGCCTCCGCAACATGGATACTACCCACCTGGAGTAAGACTATTCTCTTTTGATTGACTTTTGTCTCTGAAATCCATTACATGTTCAATGACTTGGTTTTGTCGCGCTGTTATTGAAGGCATCTTCATGAGCTAATCTTTCCTGATTTGATAGCCTTCCTACGACCAGCAACAGCACAATCCTCAATATTCCGGTCCACCCCCTCCGTACGGTCAACAAGGCTACGCACCTCAACATGGCGCTCCGCACCAGCAGGGCGGGTACCCAGGTGATCAAAACTACGGACAAGGCTTGCCCATGAACTATCCGCCGCACGACCGTGGTCACTCCCCGTACCCCCCACAGCAGCAACAACAACAACACAATCCTCAAGGCGCAAGCGCATCTTACTATGGCGCTCCTCACCCGGAACAGCCCTACCAGGGGGCGCACGCTCCTGTTCCCGCCGGACAGGAAGGCGAAAGGGGTCTGGGCTCGACCTTGCTGGGAGGTGCTGCTGGTGGGATTCTGGGCAAAAAACTCGGCGGTGGATTTCTAGGCGCAGCAGGAGGAGCGCTAGCAGGCGCTGCTGGAATGAACATGGCCAGCAAGATGTAAGCTCAGCACTGACTTGGATTGATTGTGACAGACCCTAATGGTATTTTCGAATAGGTCGAAGAAGCACAAGAAGGAGAAGAAACACCGCAAGGGCCACAGGCGTGGATCGAGTTCTAGCAGTTCTTCCAGCTCGAGCTCCTCTGACTAGTTCCTTTTTGTCACCCCAAGTGCAAATTCCTTCTAGTCTTTGCCAAACCTTGTTCGCTGCAATTTTAGCTACGACAGTTATGATGATACCCTGTTGTGCTCTATATGAAGAGAACAGTCGAAGATGGTGTTCCCTGGCGTTTTCTGTATTCTTATATTCGTATAGTTGACAGACTGTTGATAGCTTGATTCATCAGAAATGTATACTTCCATCATTACCTTTGATCCACCTTCGTATTCGGGTTGAGAAGCTGTTGACTTCGGCCAGCTCTTACCAATGTACTTTCTCCCCAGAGTGATGACATCGAGAATGCTTAGCGCACAAAGCATTCTCGTTATCGCCACATCAAAACGCCTAGACCGAATCGGTCCCGCATCGGTAACTACAGGCGCATTCCTGTGGGACGGCAGTAAAAGCGTCCTATCAAGGGTCCAAATGAGCGACGTCAATGGCTTTGTCGGCGGTAGAATCGGGAAATGTTCTAGAAGTGAGTGTGGAAGCTCAGAAGAAAAGTCGGGTGGCGAATCTGGTAGATTCATCTACAGAGTATGGTACGCTGAGTCTAACGGATAGTCCTGAGAGTGTTAACCACGAGACTGGTTACCACCGTTCATAGGTATGAACAACAATGTTTGATCCTAGCGTCTGGGTGTAGGATTACTGAGGCAAGACGTAATAGACGTGTAGGAGTGGTGGCGAGTCAGCAGATGACTGGTCCTCATGCTCTGGCTGTGACATGGGCCGATGACATGATAATCTAATTTGGATATGACGAGTTGATTAGCAGGAGATTTATGAATGAATATTATTACTAATACTCATGGTGCCGAGGAATCGGGCGACGTTCTCAATGTCGAGGTTGACTGTGATTTAAGAGTACAAGGGTTTGATTTAAGAGGTACTCCGTACAAGGGTTTACTTCAGAAAAGAACCTGGTCTCCCTATGCCTGACACGCAAGGGCGAAATCCGACCGGAACAATTCATGGAACTGGCAACGGAGGAAAGTAGAAAAAATTCCCCAAAAATCATAGCAAACACGATGACAAAAATGAGACAAAAAAAAAAAACAAGAAAAGAAAAGAAAGGTTGAATAGACTACTGCAGTCTACCGAAATGGCTATTGAAAAGAACAATAAATGTGAGGTTAAAGTTTTTGACCCACCGGCTTGCCACCATCTCCGGCTTTTTCGCGGGGGATAAGGCAGGATCAAGGACCACAATCTGGAGATTCAGACTAGCGATAACGAGGCGCCGTGAAAGGATTCAAAAATATCGTCAGACTGTACAACAAATATCGAATTCCGATCTCAATAAGCAACGATAAGGGATAAGGGCGATAATGGACTTTTAATTAATAGGAAGTACTCCGTACCTTTGCTGGTTCATTGCTTTCGAGCAATCAAGTTTCAGGAGTCATCTGCAATGCAACCATGCTTTTTGGGAAGGGAAAAAAGGAGCCCATGTAAACCATAAAGTTCAATCTAGGAGCAGCCAGCCTGATAAATTAGACGAGAGGTTTTACTATGCTATGCTACATGCCAGATAACAGATTAAGCGGTGAGATTCATCCTTCTCCCAGTCAGGAGAGAATGGCGGTGATGCTCATCCATGCCTCCTGTAAGCCATCGTTTCAGACATTGAGAAATGAACGAGTAAGCTGCTCCGTACAGAGGAACGACGCTTGAACCCCAGAGTTTCCCTAAGTACGTACTCTTGTCTCTTTTATGCTGGTCCCCTTTGCTTGTAATCTCGGTTGCATTTTGACTTTCTGCCTTCTCGTCGATAAGACAGGGGTTCGTTCCCTTTCATATATTTACCTCCGCGATCCTCTTAATGAAGGCAATGCAAAGAGTTGCACTAGCGTAGAATTTTGATCGAGCAGACAGTTCAGAAATGATAATTCAGGCGAGATGCTTGCGTTGCTTGAATTTTCCAGTTCCACCGTCTTATCACAGTCGTTCGCTTATCGTTATCTGCCCGGAGGCCATGCCTTGTACAGAGTACGACATTGAGTACCAGCTCAGCCATCATCTTACTCTGCGGGCATGACCGGCAAGAGCGGATAAAGAGATCTGATAAAAAAGGCTTTTCCAACTCTAAAAATAATCTTGCTTGTTTGTCGCTGTCCTTTTGCTGTTCTCCCAGACTTCCACATGCTTTTGGTACAAAGACCGAGTCCGAAGTCTAGGTAGGAATAGACTGCGCCACCGAGTCTAGGTACTCCGTACAATAGATGAATCTTGTGGCGACAGAAATAGCACTGGCAGCATCTGCGGCCCCAACACTTTCACGGAGACTAGTCAACTGCAGTGGACACAGGACTAGATGATTTACTGTTGCATCCCCGGATTCACACCTGTCAGGGACTGGACTTCTAGCCCAACAGCGCAAATGTTGATCAAGGATTCAAGGGATGCGCACCATCCTGTTTTTCTGTGTATGCAATGCTCATTGCTGTCCATCTTCATATTCAGCCTCCGTAAGCCTGATCAGCTCGTTTTCAATTAAAGAATGGTAACTGTGCTTTGCATGTAATCCTGTCCGGGGTTCGTACAGGTGTCGTACATAGATTCCATCAGCCTTGTAGAAAAGAAAGGGGCTACAGGCTGGGCTGTTGCTCATTCTTCAAAGCATGATTGGCTGGAATTTCCTCCATTTTTCATAATTATCCATTGAAGTTGCCTCCTACCTGGTAAGGTCCAATCTTATCGCTTTCCAATTATCACCTTTACACCACCTAGGTAAGGTACCTACAGAATACTCACAAGAAGACAAAAATTCTTCCTTGCT